GTTGATCTCAATCTTCTTCTGTTGAAATAGCTCGTCTATTTCTGAATAGCAGAACCCTATCCAAACATATGGCCTAATCACTATATGAAATTTAATGGTTGAATTAATAACAAAACTATAAAAGGGGTAAGAAATGGATATTTTTAAAAATACAAGGACGAAAACGGAAATATTTAGCAAAACCCATCGGGGAGAAAGAGAGCGAGAGGAGGGAAAAAACGGTCATTCCGTGATGGCTCATAAGAGAAGCACCAGCACCGCCGTCGCCGTCGCCGGCTCCGCCTTCGCAACAGTAGGCGGCGACAGCTTACTGGAGAGGATACCGGAGAACTTACTCAATGAAATCTTCTTAAAGTTTGAACCGGAGACACTGTCTTCGCTCAGCTCGTTAGCATGCGTTTCACGAACCCTTCAATCGTCCGTCAACAACGTTCTCTCCTCCTTCTCGTCCGTAGATCTCTCCGTGAGTTTTTCTACATTTACCATATTGCTCATCGCTTAACTTTGTTCTTCGACATCTTAAAACCCTAAGTCGTAAATATTTGCAATTGGATGGGGATTTTGTGGCAGGCGTTTTCTCTAGATCCACAGACATTTGATGGAATTAGAAGAAAATTAGGCAATATCCAGAAGATCACCTTAGATTGCCTTCGCCTCAGTGATTCTTCAATCAGAAACCTCCTTGGACCAGATGTTGAGGAATTGATTTTGTTGAAATGTTCTTCACTCTCCTGCAGATTTCTTTCTAGCATCGGAAGAACTTGCCCAAATTTAAGGTACAAGCTGGTATTACTTTCATTATAGTAGTTGCTTTGATGGTTACTGAAATTTGATTAACGTAGTCATCTTTTGCTGATTGAATTCAGAGTGCTTACACTGGAGTTTTCTGGCTTCATTGACAAATCTTCTGTATTCGATTTGAATTTCAGAGGCTCACTTGAAAATTGTCGATTCCTGGAGGTAAATATGATTACTATCTCTATTCTCTACTAATATGCTTTCAATCACATGATTTGTCATTTATCTTCCTTCCATTTACAGTCTCTGAAAATCAAAATCCTGGGAGGTGAAATTAACGATTACAGCTTCATGCTACTCGGTATCTACCTCTTGCTCCCCAAAACCATTAAGATCCTTAAACTTCAACCATCTATTTCATTAGACACTCTTGTGTTCTTCAGAACAATCCCCATTCCTCATACATCTTTTAGCCAAACATTAACACAGATCTCACTAGTATTAGACACCATCACAGATCTCCTTCTCCACACCATCACACACTCTCTCCCTCTTCTAACCAATCTCGATCTCAAAGACCAACCATCATCTGACACATCAGATGATCTATCTGACCTAGGAATTCAATCACTAATCCATTGTAAAAACCTAACTCACCTCTCTCTTATCCGAATTCGCCACCATAGTTCCACCTCATTCAAAAGAACAACCGATATGGGCTTCTTTTTGCTTTCCGAGGGTTGTAAACAACTGGAATCCGTTCGTCTTTCCGGGTTTTCAAAAGTTAGCGATGCCGGATTCACTTCAATTCTCAATTCCTGTTCCAATCTGAAAAAATTTGAGATCCAAAACACGTATCTTTTGACGGATTTGACATTCCAAGATGTCAGTAAAGTTCCTAGGGTTCTTGAAGAGGTGAAATTGGTGTCTTGTAATTCGATAACAAGTGAAGGAGTACATGAAATCGCTAGTTGTAGTGGATTAAAGATTCTTGATTTGTTCGGGTGTAAAAGTGTAGCAGATTCCTGCCTTGGAAACATTTCAAAACTTAGACTTTTAACTTCTTTAAACTTATGCGGGGCGGATGTTACCGATTCCGGGATGCTAATTTTAGGTAAAATTCATGCCCCAATTACATTCCTGTCTTTAAGAGGTTGCAAAAGGGTAACCGATAAAGGAATCGGTCATCTATTATCAAACGGAATAATTGGGAACAATTTAACGTCTCTTGATCTTGGTCATATGCCTGGAATCACTGATTATGGTGTTGGCATTGTTGTTGATTCTTGTATTGGGCTGGTGGAATTGTGTATAAGGAATTGTTTTCATGTGACAGATGTGTCCATGAAGGTTTTGGGGTTGAAGGGGGGAATTAGGAGGGTTGATGTTTATAACTGTAGTGGGTTAACTGTTGGGTGTTTTGAGCTGTTGAAGAAGCCTTTGTTTCGTGGTTTACAGTGGATTGGAATTGGGAAGACACGTGTCATATGTGTAGGAGATGATGAGTTTGATGAAATTCATAGGGAGAGACCATGGTTGACTATCTGTGATGATGGTTGTGAGGTTGGGTGTCATGATGGATGGCAATTTCATAAGTTTTAACGATGAATTTGTAATATGTTAAAAGAGATAACCCTTTTGTAAATGTTATTATTAACATTGTAGTTTTACGTATTTGTTGATTTATTCTTTTTATTATTTATTGCTTAATAATAATATTCCTTCCTAGAGACTATTATGGGTTATGGGGTAAAAAACAGTTTTTATTTATTTATTTATCATTATTTACATCACAAATCTTTTGACCTAGATACGAAACAAATAAAATTCTACAAAACACTTAAACCATTACAAAACAGCTCTCTTGCTAAACAAATTAAGGTCAGTATAAAGTATCGCCTGTTCATAAATTTAAGTGAACGAACACACACACACACACACAAAGACACATTCAACAAAAAGGCATAATCTTATTTGCTCATGATTTAATAATTATCTATCTTCCCAGCAATGCTTGAAAATCTACAATCTGAAAAAAAAAAATTCACAGAAAAGTCAAAAGCTAAAATTTTGCTTATAATATTGTCTTGAGGAAAGTAGGATGCCTAAATAGACAAAGTTTCCATTTTCTAACCCTCATTTCTCTTCCAACCGATGCAGCACCGACTCTGCAAAANNNNTATATATATATATATATATATATATATATATATATATATATATATATATATATATTATAAGAGTTGAAATTTCGCGTATAATATTGCCATTTATTAGTAAATTACAAATTTGGTCCTTGTGCTTTATTCAAAAAATTTTGGTCCAATTTTTTAAAATCTTCCTGAAGACTTCCTTAAGTTTGCATTTTGTTGCGGATTATTCCCTCTGACAACGCAATGCAAGTCTTAAATTGGACCAAAGTTGTGAGTTTGAGTAAATCATAAGGACCAAATCCGTAACAAAAATGTTAAGGGGATTTTTTTTGTAAAAGAATGATAGAATTTGAACTTACTTGCGTTCCCTATGTTTTGGGCTGGGGCGAGAGTATTTCAAGTATCCATCCCATGGAACCTTCTTAAGACCTGCCCGAACAGATATGATGTCCCTCACCCTACAAAATGGTACACAATTGTAATAACTTCAAAATCCAGGGACATTTATGGTAATTTCATCATCATCCATGTATTTTAAGTTTTAACAAAAAAAAGTGTTCAATTCACCTCTCTGCAAACTCAATAGGTGTTTCTCCAGGCTTCATATTTTGAGGCTCAAGGTACCAAACATCACAAACCACAGCCCATGATGTCATCAACTGTAACAAATGAGTCGTGAAAGATTGTCTGCAAAACAAACAAACACAGATAAAATTATAACACAATTCAATCCAAAAAATATAAAAATGAAATTAATAATAACAATAAATACTTGCTTTTTGCTATTCCAGAAAGCATCAACGAAAATTTTGTTGTACTTGATTGCAATTGGGCAAACAGTGGACCCAAGTTCAAATGCACCCTATATAATATACAAATTACCAATAAATCAATATATATATGGCAAAAACTAAAAGCATTTTAATGGAATAGAAAGAATTATTTCTTGAAAATGCAATATAGATCAATAAATGTACCTTTTTGAACATAACAGTGAACTGATTATTTACACAAGTTCCTTCAGGGAAGATAAGAAGAGGATTGTTGTCAGCTCCTTCAACATGCTCCCTTAACCTAAAACCACAGCATCATGTCACAACATTTTTCTTTTTTTTTAAAAAAAAATATAAAATTTACAAATTTACATACTTTCTTGCTACAATTTCACGATCCTTTGCTTCCGAACGATTAAACCATATACACCCCAAACTATCCAAAATAGTGCTTTGCAGAAGTCCTATATATAATAATAAAAAAAAAACATTCAATATATCATTTTCTTTAAAATAATATAAATGAAAAATATGTATGTGTTTTTTTTTTTTTTTTTTTTTTTTTTGAAAGAGCCAAAGCTCAGCAAATGAAAAATATGTATGTGTTACATACCAACCCATCCGGGGTGTTTCTGCATGATAACAGCAAAAGCAGTCATTTGTTCTAAAACAATGAAATCAATCATTGATGTATGATTAGCCACAAACACCTGAAAATTAAATTAAATCATCAGAGAAAACAATTATGATTAAAAAAATCTACAGTAAATGCAAATAATTAATAACTTACCTGTTTAGGCCTTGCACATGGTCTAGGGCCATGATACTTCACTACCCCTGTCCATGATGCAACAAAGAAGCTGCAAATTAACTCCACCAGAGCCCTCTGAGCCCAAAATAGTCAAAATACTAGTCAGATTTATAAAGTTTTTTAAAGATGTAAAAAGATGCCACAAGTAAAATGCATTTATAGTGTATACCTCTAGCCTTTTTCTTAACTTATCATGCCCTTTTAATAGCAAATGCACAGGAATATAACATGATAGGAAGATTATCCATCCTATTGTCAGAACAAGAACCCTGAGATATGAACAAACAATAAGCAAAGAAAAGAAATGTTCAATTTCTCATTATGCAGAGTTACATACAACAAACAGTTACCTTCCAGGGAAAAGAATCCCATATCTAACTACAACTCCCAAACACCACAAAGGGAATAAATATATATTCCAATTCCAAGGCTCTGGAGGATTTGATTTGAAGCATCGTGTGAAAGAATCCTGCTCATGCAGATGGAATTTGGTTAGACACAACTAAAATCATGAATCGTCGTCATTAGGGAAGAAAAAAACGAATTCGCAGTGCAGAAAGCACACTAGACACAACTGTAACAGTATTTTTCAGATGATAAAACATCTAGTAGATCGAATGAGTGAATTCGCACGAATAGAAGAAGAAACATCAAAAATCAAGGCAAAATTAGAAAGGAGGATAAGAGGAAAAGAACACTTACATCGACAATGGCACCAGCCGCCTCCGTTAACGTCGGGGAGATGTCCAGCAAATCGCGCCTACACAAAATATGCAATCAATCGATCGAGCTTTCCAAATAACAATATACACATATAGATTGATAAAATAGATCGATGGATGATTGAATGGTTACAAACGAAGCTTGGCGTGAGGTTGTGGAATGGAATCGGAGGGAAGGTAGTCTTCGATGTTGGGGCGATCTAGGTCTAGCTCGGAGCTTGATGAGGTTAGCTTGCTCATCTTGGTGCCACGTTCTGGAGTGGAGATAGAAGAAAGGGGGATTGAATTCTTGAAATCTTGACTGTTGACCATGGCTGCGATCTAACAAGATTTGGGCTGGGTTTTGAGTCAAACCGATGAACCCATTTGACCAAGCATCCAAAAACTGGAATCAAACCATACAAAATAATATCCTATTGGTCCAGTTTTGGTTTAAATTACGATCATCAAATCAAACCTGCCCTACATCAAATATAAATTCCATCTTAATTTCAAATTAAAAAAAGAAAAAAAGTAAGAAAAAAAAAAAACATAGTTTATTTTTCTCGTTTTTTGAACTTCAAACACATATTTTCTATTTTATTCTTAAACTACATTGTTCAAAATTAACATTCCTTGACATACCTAACTAGAAATAACAATCGACACACCGCTCTCTTCTTTCGCTAAGACAACCACTATGGTGATCACTGGCGAGAAACACCTTAGACTGGATGGAGTGGTCACAATGGAACTCGACAATTGCCGACGTGGACTCGGGAACACCGCCCCATCTATTCGGTTTGCTCAATTCGGCATGGTGTTTTAGGATGAGACGAGAGAGAAATAGACTTTGAATTTGAAATTGCAATAATGGTCCTTACAAATTCTCTGTTGCTACATTTTTTATCCTAGAATTAAAGGGAAAATACTCTATTTACCCTTCAACTTTATAATTGTTCGCATTTGATTTATTCCTTTTGATATTTTAATACATTTATTAATTCAAATAAACATCTTTAATATAAGTTAACTATTAATATACCCCAAAATAAAAAATTATTTATAAAGTTCATCAAATATAATCAATATTTTTTATTCTTTTATCTAAAAATGTTAATGATACTCAGCAAAATTAATTTATTTATCATTATTATTTTATTTTGCTCAATTAAAGAATATTTAAAAAAATGTTAAATTTAAATTGAGGAAAAAATATGTCAACCCATCCGAAGACAAGATAGTCAAAGAATAGTGAAGAATGTGACAAAAAATAACATTAAACTAATCAATATTTTAACATTTGATTTGATATATTTTTTTTGTTTATTTTTATTTTTGACGTTTGATTTCACATCATTAGATTTTATATATATATATATAATAAAAATAATAAGATTAAAATATAAAATAAAAAAGAATTAAAAACCAATTTTATATAGTCGTTCAAATTTATAATGCCGTCCAATTTATAAAATGTTGTTCGAAATAATAATAATAATAATAATAAATAATTAAAAAACGATTTTATATAGTCGTTTCGTCCGAATTTATAATGTCGTCCGAATTATAAAATTTTCTTATAAATTTATAATAATAATAATAATATTAATATTAATTTTAATATTAAAACATAATAATAATAATAATAATAATAATAATAAATGAATTAAAAACAACAAAAAAACAAAATAGGAAAATAAAAAAATAAAAAAATAACAACAACAAAAAAATCAAATCAAGAGTGGAATTATAAAAAGGAGGAGAATACTTACAAAAACTTCATACATTAAACTTACCATGAAAAGTCACACGAATGGGAGTTGTATCCCCTTAAATGGTAGTATGGACATTTATATCATTATTTCTTTTCTTTTTTCGTTTTCCTTAATTCCTCTCTCTCTCTCTCTCTCTCTCTATATATATATATATATATATATATATATATATATATATATATATATA